TATATATATATTAATATATGAAAAATATATCAAAATTGATGTTGGTACTCAAATGAAAGCTCTCAATGAGTGTAATGTCGGGGTGAGCTTATATCTTTAAAAATGTCAATAACTAAGAAATGACCTTATATCTTGTCAACTACTGACATTTTTAAAGATATAAGCTCACCCCGACATTACACTCATTGAGAGCTTTCATTTGAGTACCAACATCAATTTTGATATATTTTTCATATATTAATATATATATAAATATATAAAATATATGAAAAATTGATATGGGTACTCAAATGAAAGAATGTAATATTGAGATGAGCTTATAACTTTAAAAATGTCAATAGTTCACAAGATACAAAGTCATTTCTTAATTATATATCTAGAGATAGAGCATTTTAGAATGTAGCCTAAATACTTATCATCATAAATTGACTATTGGTGAGAATGATATAAAACCATAAAAAGAAACAACTCCAGGTCAAGACTTTTCCAACGATACCAAATTTAACCATAAAAACCTATTTTATCATATAAATACATTCGCGACAAAATTTTGTTCATTCTCTCAATAATATAGATTATTATTATTATTATTATTATTATTATTATTGGACATCGAAAATTGGAATATTTTTTTAACAATGTGACATTGAATTTAAAAAAACACATTTGTTGTTTTTATTGAATTTATTTTTAAACTTTTAAGAATAAATTGAGAACAAAATAATTTTAAATAGTTTTTAAAATACAAAGGTGTGAATTTTATTTATTCATTTAATTTTCTAAAATAAATTAAATTAAAACAAAAAGTCAAACCAATAATTAAAAATTATCACCTTTTTTTCATCATAAATTTTAAGAATATTTTTATTTATATTTATTTTTATTAATAAAAATTTTTAAAAATTCCAGGTACAAGAATTATTCAACGCGATGAAAGAACAGTCGTCATTAGCACGGCCCGACCGGGATCGTGATCTCCAAAGATCTAACAGCAGTGCAGCGGCACTTAGCATCGGAGCAGACATATCACCGAGTTCCTCGCACTTCTTCGAAGTACTTTACGTCGGTAAAATTAAATTATCACATCAGAAAGTACCAGAGTCATTTATCGACGATGCTATGGTCAAGTTCAGGGCTTACGGCCTTGACAAATCAAAGGCTACTGTCAATAATTTGCTAGCCGAGTGTCACCAGCTTAAAAATCAGGCTGCTGATAATCCTGAGGCTAATAGTGATAATCGCCGCAATAGTGGTGTAAGTAATCTAAAAATTATTATTTAATTAAATTAAAATAAATAAATAATGTTTGTAATACAAGGTTGCAATTTTTTTATATTTTATTTTTTATTAAAATTTGTAATTTAAAAAAAAATATTTTAATTAAATTTTTTAAATAATTTACAACTTAAAAAATTTACAATAAAAAAATTAAATTAATACATTATTTAATAAATTAATAATAAAAATAATTCATTAATTAAAAGAAAAATTAATAATTAAAAAAATTAAATTGAAACATTTTTTACAAAATTAATAATAAAAATAATTCATTTTTTTTTTTTAATTAATGATTAAAATAATTAATTTATAAAAAATTTAAATTGAAAAATTAAAAAAAAATTTTATTATTTAAAAAATTAAATTAAAACATGTTTTTAAAATTAATTAAAAATTTCAGGACTCGGTAACAAGTGATCTGGGAAGCACAGACAATGTATCAGCATCAGGAAGCATAATCTCACCATCAACACCGATAGGAATGGCAGCACCTCTAGGTGGCTCGGTGGAATCTCTCCCGGTGCCAAGCGACACTCAGGAGAGCCAGAGCCCAAAAAAAGGCAGAAGCTCAACAATGCCTGTCCCAGAAATGATGAGAAGTAGAGCAGCCTCTACTGGAAGCGTGCTAGGCCCGAGGAGAGAGTCCTCGGTCAAAGGAAACGAGGACCACAATCGCACTATGCTATTTCAGGTATCCCATCTATTTCATTTTTTTTTATCCAGTTAATTATTTTTATGGTAATATAAGTTTAAGTGAAATGAAAGTATTTTATTGAGTTTTTGTAATGTAGCTAAACGTGAATGCGGTTTTCAGGTGGGACGCTATGATTTAAGACTTATTAGTCCAGATAGAAAGCAAGTGTTGTTTCACAAACAGCTGAAAGACATCGCGAGCTGCGTTCAAGGTCTTAAAAATCCAGAGCACTTTGGTTTCATTTGCCGTGAAGTCAATACTGATGGTTTTGTTGGGTATATTTTCAAGTGTCAGTCTGCTTCTGTTGCTGATGATTTGGTTGGTGGTAAGTTTATGTCTAAAATTATTTTAATTATTATAATTGAACTTATCGCTCGTAGTCCGCTGCACTGAGCTGAGGTTATAATTTGTTAAATTTTTTTTTTTAATAATTTTCTAATTTTCATTTGTAAAGATAAAAAAAATACTCTATCTATAGATACATAATTAAGAAATCATCTTGTATCTCGTGAACTATTGACATTTTGAAAGATATAAGCTCATCCCGATATTACACTCATCGAGACCTTTCATTTGAGTACCCACATCAATTTTTAATATATATTTATATATATTACATATATGTATATATGAAAAATATATAAAAATGCATGTGGGTACTCAAATGAAAGCTCTTGATGAGTGTAACATCAGGATGAGCTTATATCTTTAAAAACGTCAATAGTTAAAAAAGTACAGTGCAATTTAACAAAAATTATTATTTAATGAAGTAAAATTTTATTTATTTATATTTCACAAGTCAAGGCAGTCACATAGTGACTGCAAGGTTGCTAATAATCATAAAACTTGTACAAAATTATTTTTATTTCTTCATTGCTTAAAATTTGAAAAATTTCTAATAATAATAATTTTAAAAAAATTAAATTGATTATGAGAAACTTACGGAGGAATTAAAAAAATATTAATTTACTTAAAAAAAAAAAAATTATTTTTCTAAAATTTATAATAAATATTATGATAAATTTATTTTATATTATATTCTATTATTATTCACCTTATTAATTAAGCTTGATAAATTAATTAATGAATTAATTAATTAATTAAAGAAGTGAAAATAAGTATAACTACAAAAGTATATATTATTCCAGCAATAACGCAGGCGTTTATAGCAACATGTCACGGCAATAGCACAAAAAAAGAGCGCCACCAAGTATTCTCCTGTGAGCACTGTCCAATGGTCTGGTACAACAAACTCTGCCAGGAGATAGAAGGCCAAAATGACCGGCGTGTCCAGTCAATAATATTCTCACGTCTGGAGATGTTGCCCGAAGATGAGCAAGAAATCGTGGTGACCAAGTACAAGGGCGCGGAGGCCGCGGGAGGCTCTGGCCGTGAGTTCAGTTTACGTGAGCAAAATCAATTTCTAATGCTGCTGCTTCGCGCCCACTGCGAGTCCAAGCAGACTCGCCACGTCCATGACACCGCCGAAAATCGCAGCGAGTTTTTAAATCAGTACTTGAGTGTCGGCGTCGGCAGCACGATCTTCATGAAGGCCAAGCGCTCGCTCACCAACAGCTTCGACCACCTGATGAAGCGCAAAGGCTCGCGTGATGATTTTAACCTTGCTGCTCACCACATACGTGAGACGACTTCGATGTCCAGAAGCGATCGGCAGAGTCCTGTTGGGATGAGTAATTCCTCAATTCCTGATTCCATTTCAGAGTCCAGTAGGCCAAGATCGCTACGGGTTTCACCAGAGCAACAATTGGTTGTTAATACTGGACCCAAAAGCCCGATGATGGACATGTAAGTTTTTTTTTTATTAATTAATTAATAACTATAAATAGACACTTAAAAATTTTTATAGCAATTAAATTATAATAAAAAAAAATTTAGGAAAAAAATTCTAGATTTAGAAATTTAAAAAAATTATAAGTAAGAATTTTAAAAAAAATTTAGTATTATAAAAAAGAAATTAGTTTTAAAAAATATGGCTTGATAAAAATTAAATTAAAAAGTAGAAAAAAAAAATTTATATACAAGTTTTTTTTTTTATTAAAAATATATTTAATTGATTCATTTTCTAAATATCAAATTTTTTATTTTGAAATTGGACAGCTGACTAGATAAAATTTTTTTTTAATTTAATTAATTGTAAAAAATATTTAATTAATTTATTTTTTGAATATAAATTAAATTTTGTATTAATTAAGACGTTAAATTTCTTTTTTAATTTTAAAATATCTAAGGTAAAAAGACGCCATTAAAGGCACCTCTAAGCCCTATTAGTGGCACTTTTTTTTTTTAATGAAAAAATGCTCTACTTGAAATAAAAATTAAAAACTTTTTTGATCTCAAGGTCTTAAAGATTAGAAATCGACGGTCTAATTAGAAATTGGTCTAACTCCTTATTTTTTAGAGGGTAATTTTTTAATATTTTGCTGTAGCAATAATCTAATTATAAATTATTTGAATGATCCAAACCAAAATATTATACCTTTATTAGATATTAAATTATTTTTTAAAGTGATAATAAATTTTGAACTAATTGTTTTTTCGTACAAATGGAAGATTCTCTTAAATGGAGTTAGACAATTTGCTAATTAGAACGTCGAAATAATATATATTGATGATAGAAATTAATGATTTCATTAATTGAACAAGTACCAAAATCAAAGAAAGTGTCAGTAATGGGGTCCCCGCCACTAATGGGGTCTTTTACCCTAGTAAAAAATACAAAAATAATAAGCTTGATAAAAATTAAATTAAAAAGTAGAAAAAAAAAATTAATATACAATTTTTTTTTATTAAAAATATATTTAATTGATTTATTTTCTGAATATCAATTAAATTTTTTGTTTTGAAATTGGACAACTGACTAGATAAAATTTATTTAAATTTAATTAATTCTAAAAACTATTTAATTAATTAATTTTTTAACTATAAATTAAATTTTTTATTAATTAAGACGTTAAATTTTTTTCTTAATTTCAAAATTTCTATAAAATTAATTTTGTTTTAAAATTGAGCATCTAATAAAATTTTTTTAAATTAAATTAACATTAAAAAAAATTAAATTTATTTTCTAAATATTAATAATATTTTTAACTTTTTACAACTATAATTTACTCTAAAATTTTTCCTAAAATTAACCACAAAAAATTAAAAAAATTCCACTTAATAAAAAAAAATCAAGTTAATAAAATTAATCAAATTTTTTTTCAGCTTCCTAAAAGTAGGAAACTCACCCAAGATGTCCCCGATAGAATCTGAAGAAAACAGCGGTCGTCTTCAATCCAGCAGTTCCTGGCGCCAGGCGATTCTAAACCGCGTAGTAACCCCGGGAAAGGACCAAGACACGCGAGACGGCGACTCATCCTCATTAAAATCGCAGTCTCTCCCCGCAGTAAAACGTACCAGCGAGGAGCTGCGCGAGCTCTGGAAAAAAGCTATAAACCAGCAAGTGATCCTGATCCGAATGGAGAAAGAAAACACTCGCCTTCGAGTCCGCCAAGAAGAAGCGACAATGAAGCGCGTGAAACTAGAGTACGACGAGCTGAGTAGCTGCGCTCGAGAATTAATCGACGTGTGGGACCTGTTAGTGAGCAAGCAGTCGCGAATCTCCACGAAGTGCGATTCAAAAATGCTCCTCCAGGCCATAAAACAAGGAGTACCTCGCGGAAAGCGCGGTGAAGTCTGGCAGTTCCTCGCGGAACAATTCTGCCTAAATCAGCCTCCAATAGACACCCAAGAATTCCCAAACTACAACACACCATACGAGCTGCTACTAAAACAACTTACCTCGCAGCAGCACGCGATCCTGATCGACCTAGGGCGGACCTTCCCGAACCACCCGTTCTTCAGCTCCGCCCTAGGTCCAGGCCAACTGGCACTCTTCAACCTCCTCAAAGCTTACTCTCTCCTAGACCACGAGGTCGGCTACTGCCAAGGGTTGAGCTTCGTCGCAGGAGTCTTGCTGCTGCACATGTCAGAAGATCAAGCGTTTTTCCTCCTGCGGCACCTGATGTTCCGCCGCGGGCTCAGGAAGCTCTACCTCCCGGACATGGCAGCCCTCCAGCTGCGGCTCTACCAACTGTCCCGACTCCTCCACGACCGTCTTCCCTTGGTCTACAGTCACTTCGACAAACACGAAGTCTCTCCGACTCTCTACGCAGCTCCCTGGCTGCTGACTCTGTTCGCCAGCCAGTTCCCGCTGGGCTTCGTAACCCGGGTCTTTGACCTCTTGTTCCTGGAAAGTTCTGAAGTAATCTTCCGCGTGGCGCTAGCTCTGCTGGAGGAACACCAGGAACAGCTGCTGCTCTGCGACAGCTTTGAGGAAATAATGGAGTACTTGAAGGTCAAGGTTCCAGCTGTGGACAAGGCCATGCTGGACCGGGTCATGAAGCATGTCTTTTTACCAGACACAGAGATCTCCAGACAGTTAAATGAGTACAGAGTAGAGTACCAAGTTCTCCAGGAAGAAATGCTGTCGGTCAAGCCGCAAATTGAGAACATTGAAAAGCTGGAACTGATGAACAAGCAGCTGACCCAACAGAACAGTCGCTTGACCAGTCAGCTGGAGGCTGCGGTGGCTAGTATCCAGCGCCTGGAGAACCGGGGAGTCTCCAGTAATTCTGTTCATAAGTTAGAGTCCCAAAATCGCAGCTTGGAGGTCACTGTAATGACTCTTGGGTCATTTATCCAGCAGCTGATTGAAACTCGCACTGACTTGGAGGTTCCTGGAGATGTCCGGAGGATTCTAGGTCAACTCAGTGTCGCTCAGCGGAGAAATAATTCAACCTTGGGTTCCAATAGGTCATTTCCTTTGAAGGTTATTGAGGATAATAATAATAGGTATGAACCTATGAAGAGTAACTCTACTGGAGGAGGTCGAGGTAGTGAATTGTTGGCTAAAAATTTGTTGAAAAATTCCATGGAACCTCCCTACCCGCTCAAGTCAGCGCTGAGCCAACCTAACCTAGGAACAAAGCTGGAGAAAATGTCCTCCTTTTTTGCGACTTCGCACAACCACATTCGCCAACAGAGGGCGCAGATAGCCGCGTTTAGAAACAATGACGGGTTGACTTCTATCAATAATAGTATTAATAATAATAGTTTTAATATTAATATTAATAATAATAATAATAATAATATTAATTTGAGTAATAACAATGATGAAAACGACCCCAAGACGGTTAATATTGACATCCAGGTGACGGATACGGTGGGGATTACTAATGAAGGTTCGGGGATTCAAAATGAGGCTAACTTGAAAATTGACTCGGTTGGAGTGTTGGAGAAGTCCACTTCGTTGCCCCTCAATGCTAAGATGAAGCTCAAGCCTACCAAGTCGGCGTATGAGTTGGGGTCGGTTAGGAAAATTCCGACTACTAAGTTGGAGGATACTGAGGGTGTGGGGATCCTCACTGGGACTGTTCATCCTCTGGATACGTGCAGTGATGTTAATTTTAAGTACGGAGGCACGACCAAACTTAAGTCGATTAAACCGGTTAGGATGAATCCTGTTACTCTGGCGACTATGGCTGAGGTTCAGGTTCAGAAACAGGAAAATAATAATGAGTTAAATCCGACGGAAATTGTCACGAGATAACAACGTATGATTACTATTTTTGAGGAGAAATTTATTATTAATTAATCATAATAATAATTATTTTTATTAATAAATATTTCAAAAAATTTTTTATTAAAAATTTTTATTAACAAATATTTTTAGTAATTATTATTGATAATTATCTTTAATTATTATTATTATTATTATTATTATTAATAAATATTTTTAAAATTTTTTATTAATAATTATTTTTAAAAATTTGTATTAAAAATTATTTTCAATAATTTTTATTGACAATTATTTTTAATAATTATTATTATTATTAATAAATATTTTTGATAATTTTTCTTAATAATTACTATTGATAATTATTATTATTAATTAAAAATAATTATTATTAATTAATAATTAGTAATAAGATATTTAGAATTAAGATTTATATGAAAAAAAAAACTATTGTAGTAATTTTTGATTATTAATTGTATGATATAGTTTGATTAATAATTTTGAAATAATTTATTTAAGGATTAACTTAATAATTCGGTGTTTTTTTTTAATTAAAAAATCGTATCATCATACCAAAAGAAAAAAAAAACCTTCTTCTGTATGTAATAGGTTTTTTAAAAACTAAAAAAAAATATGAAAAGTATATCTTCTAGAAGTAATGAAATATTTAAAAATTAAACTGGCTAGTGGCCTAGATATTATCTAACAGTAAATAAAATTAACAAGTATTTTTAAGACAAGTCGTTATTTATGTTCGTAATACACGTCCAATAAATTTATTTTTTATGGTATGAACATAAAAAAAATATAAGAAATAAACAATTTGTTTTGGATCAGTATTTTTCGTTGTATCCGGCCTTTAGCGAGTGCAGTCAATTTTAATAATTAAAAACTGTAATAATTTTTAAAAAATATTAAATCGCACAAAGTATAGAAATATATTTGACATAAAAAGAAGAAATGTTTAATTACATGTCAATAGATGAAAGTCTTGCCGTAATCAGTAGATTGTTTTTAGTTTTTAATTGATGAAAAAAAAAAAACTCCTACAGCAGTGTGCCAATGACAAAATAAATAAAAGAAGATTATATTAATATTTACACAAATATGAAATATTTAATATTTACAACATATATAAATATAAATATATATATTTACATAAAATAAATAAAATAGTTTATTGTTAACCGGGGACAATAGTCGAGAGATAAAATGTAAATTTAGTTACCATTTAAAGAGGCGAAGTACTGCCAAATTTAATTAATCATTAATTGTCAACCACCAATCATAATTAATTCGAAATTAAATACACTATATTTAGGTACTTATTACATTTAAAATGTGAATTTACTGGTAAAATTTATTTTATTTTTGTTTAGCTTCACGTAATTTTAATGTAAAGACTGGTGAGAAGAATATTAAAAATTTCGGCTTGTCTATTAATTATTAATTATTAATTATTGTATCTAGTACTAACACTAGGTATAAAAAATATATACACTGAAATTTAAAACAGTATTTATATGAAAAATATCTGATTGGTAATTATTAAAACTATTTAAAAGTTTATTATTTATTTTGAAAATTATAAAGAAGAAATAACTGAGGATAAGAAATTTTAGTGAGAGGTTAGAGCAAATTGCCAAAACTTTGCTTGAAGAAATAAATATATATGTGAAGTTATATTAAACAAGTTTAAAAATTTTTTTTTTATATTTTTAAATTAAGTGTGAAGAAATCTGGATGTTTTATATAATATATATTTTTTTTTCAAGTGAATTTATTTCTATTTAATTATTTTTTGAAATGTAAACGTAAATTTGTGACGTAAAATTATGTAGATTTTAGATGACTTTTTTGCCGGCTGTTGTGGAAATGCTTGGCGTTTATTATTAGGCCAGTGTACTATGTAGTTTTTAATTTTATTATTATTATTTTTATCATTATTAGTGATTATAGTTATAAATGTATGATATGTAAATAAGTTGATATCCTTGTATGGTTGATAATGTGAATCTGAATGTCTTCAATAAAGTAATTATACCAAATAAATATGTTTTTTTTTTTTTTTTTTAATTATTGTTATTATTCAATTATTTATTATTTTTTATTATAGAATTGATATTTAAAAAAATAACAATTTCATTTTTTCTCAGATATGCTCATCATTATTAAGAGAATAAACGAAATTTTGTGGCCAGGATAGAAATATGATAAAATAGGTTTTTTTTAGTAAAATTTAGTGTCATTGCAAAGGTCTTGACTTGAATTTGTGCCTTTTCAAGGTTTCATATCATTTTCACCGATAGTCAATTTATTATGATAAGTATTTTGGCTATCTCTAGATACCTAATTAAGAAATGACCTTATATTCTTGTGAACTAATGATGTTTTTACTGATGTTACACTCATCAAGATCTTTCATTTGAGTACCCACATCAAGTTTTCATATATTCATATATAATATGTATATATGTATATATGAAAAATATATAAAAATGCATGTGGGTACTCAAATGAAAGCTCTTGATGAATGTAACATCGGGATGAGCTTATATTTTTAAAAACGTCAATAGTTAAAAAAAAAACAGTGCAATTCAACAAAAGTCATTATTTAAGGGGGAACACCACTGTGACGGTCGAAAAAAAAGGTGATTTTCGGGAATTTTTTTTGACAGGGAAAATAAAGGAATTTGGAGATCGGATTTTTTTCATTTTATTAACAGTACATTAAAAATTATTACCATAAATTTTTATTAAAAAATATTTAATTATTACAAAAAGTTATTAACAATCTCGTAGAGCACTAGAAAAAATTTCCCCCTCCATGGTCGAATCGATAACTCAAAAACGGATCATCTGAAAATAAAAACTCAAATTGCTTTTTAATCAGTAAGGATGTAGTTATCGTTGCACGAACGGAATTTTGAAAATTTTAATTTTCGAAAAAAATGGCGACTGATTTCTTCAATTAAAAATCCATTTCAAACATTATAAAAATACACTTTTTTACAGTTAGTAATAATAATAAAATATAAGTAATATAAAATTTTTTATAAATTTGAATGACTTTTAAATTAAATATGTTGCATGCTCATAAAAGAATAGTCGGTGATTAACGTACATTAGATACAATGTCGAAAAATCACATAATTTTACTAAAATTAATTAGTTTTAAAGACTTTTTATTGATATTATACTCCAAAAATGGTGTTTTATAAAATTAACCCTGTATACAGTTTTTTTTTAATTGTTATCATAATAAAGTACTTTTGAAAAAATCTTGTAATTTAAATTAATAAAACATAGTCTGTATTTATATTCTTGAAATTTAATTAATCAATTTTGGGTAAAATTTTTACAGATCAAACAAAGATGACTCAAATAAATCGAAAAAAATTAATTAAAAAATATTCCTACAATTAAAACGCTGAAAATATTTAGTAAGTTAAAAAATTAATTAATTTTCTTCATCATTTTCATGATCATTGAATTATAGTTTTATAAAAAAATAAATATTATAATTTTGATAAAAAGTTATTTTATGGTTTTTTTTTTATCAAGTTATTCCAACTATTATTGAAGAAACTTACATTCTTCCTAATCTACTAAAGACTGTATTATTATTGTTAATAAAAATTGTTTAATAAATTTCTCCTTTTTGTTATTTTAGGGTCACGGTGTCGACAAGTCTTTTCGGCTAATCGACAAACAAAGAAAGACTCAGAGTCTTTGTCAAAACTAAAATATCATCAGTAGACAAAATACAATGTAATTATTTAATTATTCACATTTTTTAGGATATAAGCTTGTAATAATTAAATATTTTTTAATAAAAATTTATGGTAATAATTTTTAATCTACCCTTAATAAAATAAAAAAAATCCGATCTCCAAATTCCTTTATTTACCCTGTCAAAAAAATTCCCGAAAATCACCTTTTTTTTCGACCGTCATTTAATTAAAGTCTTAAAAATTTTTTTCCAATACTCTTCTTGGGTAATACTTATAAATTATAAATAATAACAAAATTCTAATATTAATTATTGACTAAATTCTATAAAAATACTTATATTAGAAAAAAAAATTATTTCTTACCATTTATTCATTTCTTCACAGTTTAAAAATAAAATTTTTATAATAAATCTTCTTAAAATTTTAATTTTTTTATTTCTTCTCAAAATATCCCTGTTTTTAAATTATACATAGAATTAATGACCTCTTTTTTTTTTTTTTTAATTATTAATTTAAATAAATAATACTTTTACTTGAAAAAAAAAAAAAAAAAATTTATAAATTTTTAATTAAAGGATTTCTTCTTAAATAAATTTATTTGCAAACTTACAGCTAATTAAAATAGAATAAAAAAATAAAAACTCCACAAAATAATTTTCAATATATATATTTCGTATTCAAAATATAATAATGAACATTACACATGATGCTAGATCATATTGTGACAATCAGCGCAGATTGACACGTTTGACAGTGGTACCGTGGTTTGTTAATAATAATAATAATCATATAATCTAGTCGAACGGCTAGCGTCTGGAGTAAAGGCAGATATGAGATCGGAAAAATACAAAAAGCTACCGAACAATTGGCCTTTGCATTCAGTTGTCATTTCTTCTTTCAATAATAACAAATAAATCCTCACTAATAATAATAATTATTATTATTATTAAATAGTTATCAAAAAAGTGTCAAACTTAGGTGAATTTAAAAACGGGGTCGTTGTTTTATCATCCATATATTTATTAAATATCAATATCATTCATTTCTTCTCTATAATCCAAGACGTATCCGCTCGTCAATATCGGCATTAATATTATTTCCGTCAGCCATTTTTTTTTATTTCTTCCCTTCGTATGTAGAAAATAATAATGACAGTATTTATTATTTTTTTTTATTTAAATTTATAACGTCATATATATTTAAATTACGATGATAGATAAAATATTTTATTTCATCGTAAATTATATTTTTTTTTACTTTTTTTTTATTTATTTTATTTATAAATAATATAAAAAACAAGAGTTAGATTAAAATGATAGTTTTACATACATACAGACGGTTGTTTATTTTTTTTTTTTTAATTTATTGTAAAATTTTTTTTTTTTGTAGTGCATCTGCGTATTACAAGACGTTAGCTTCACATCAACTGCATCCTCCACTTCTTACGCATACAATTTATCAATAATTATCATCATTATAATTATTATTAATATTAATATTAATATTCATTTATATTTAATATAATACATATCATTTAGTTACATAATAATTAATCAATTATAATTAATAATAATAATTATTATAATAATAAAATCCAAATGTAGGCAAGCGATAAGCCCACTTTACAATTTCATTTATTTAATAAGCCCCAAAACCCTTAAGATTTATTTATAATTATAATTATTAATATTTCGTTATTTTTTAATTGTTTTTTTTGTTTTTTTTTATATATATATTTATATATAATTACTATACAGGTGGCAAGAAAAAACAACACTCAAACTGCCTTATCTATTAGTTATTTATAATAGTTATAATCATCACAGTGATAAACGAAAAAATATATATATACTTTTAATATATATATATATATATATGGATGTATATATAAATGATTTTAATATATATGTATTTTATATCCTTCAAAATCTCCTTGTACACTTAACTTGATCATTTAATAATTAATTGATCATTTCTTCTCTTCATTTTTAGGTTAGTTAATTAATATTCGTTTAAAGTGTATTTTTGTGGCACCCACACATTTACAGTAATGATTAATTATTTTATACAAAAAAATTTTCATTAAAAACTCCTTTGTTTCTGGTTAAAAGCTTCGGATACAAGCGAAAGTTTGTTCCAAATGAGGTTATGTTCCCAAGTTTTTAATCAGAGCGAAAAATCAATACTGTAACTATTTAAAATTTCTTACAGGTTATTTTTTACAAGTACAATCAAAAATCATTTTCCTTTTTTTATATATTAATTAATTATTATTATTATTAATAAAATTTTTTTAATTAATCTTATACCTCCACTATTTACCTAAAAAAATTGTTCTTTGTGTTAGCCGTTTAAAATTACATCAGGTAAAGCTAACTTGTCTTCCGGTACTCGGTTAAATATTTACACTGTATTTTTTTTAATATATTTAATTACTCCTAGACCTTTTACTCTTATAGTTATAATTATTCTCTTTTTAATCCGTGGCGTTAATGATATGATAAAAAGTGTAACAAATTACATTAGCTAATACTCGCATTTAATACTTTGTTTCATGGATTTCTTCCATTGTTTAACCTCTAAAATTTTTTTACAACTTCAAACAAACAATCAATTATTCTTGTACAATTTAGGTTATGTACAGTATAACCTTCAAAAAAAATCTACAGGTTATGTCTGCTTGGAACAAAGTGTCAGTATTCTTCTTTGCCATCAAAATTTTTTGTAAAAAAACAAACAATTAACATTCTTTAGATACAATTATTAAATATAAATTTTTATATTACCAAAAAAATAAAATTTAATCGATTAATGCGAGTAATTATTTAGTATTTAAAATATATAAAATTACTTCTAGAACAAGTACCGGATAACAAGTTACTTTGATAAAAAATACCTAGAGTATGTACAACAGTAATTAAAAAAAAACTCGAATAGTTCAAATAACGGTTTGTTCATTTCTTCTTTATTAATTATTATTATTATTATTATTATTATTATTTGGCTCTTAATTTGTGCCTGCACGTGTCGGATACCACAGAGTTTCTACATATAATTGGATATATGTAAAAAATACTCTTCTAATCTCTTACTTTTTATTTTATTTTGTATTTTTTATTCTATCTATTACCGGTACCGATAGGCCAAGATAATTGCCGGTGGTTGAAAATTAACTTTGTTTAAAGTGGTCAATTCAAATACCTTTTAAAATAAATCCGATTTAATTGAGGCAGTAACGAGCTTTTAATTACAATAATATAAAAAGGTAATTAGTAACAAAAAAAAAATATTTTTTCTTAAAAAAAATTTATAAAAATAATATCTATTATTTATGTAAAAAATTGATCAATATTTTTTTTTAAATATAAATTTAAATAATAATAAAAATTATTGATCAATAATTTTTTTTTTTAATAGAAATTTAAATAATAATAATAATTAATAAATATTTCTTCTTAAAAAAAATTCATAAAAATAATATCTATTAATTATTATTATTTATGTAAAAAATTGATCAATTTTTTTTCATATAAATTTAAATAATAATAATAATTGATCGATTATTTTTTTTTTTAATCTAAATTTAAATAATAATAATAATAATTAATAAATAAATTGTAAGACTCTGTGATGAAACGACAATTCTGATAAGTACATTTTTTTTAGTATTAAATATATAATTATTGTTAGAATTATATAATTGAATATTTAATTTATAATATAATAATAATATAATTTCTTCATCATTGGCCTGCCCTTATAAATGAAGAAATAAATGCATTAAAACAATATTCATTTCTCGATTTTTCAAAATTCTTCTCTTTGTTTCTTCATAACTTAAAATTAAATATCCATTAATAATTAATAATTAATAATTAATAATTATAATTAATGTGAATTATTACTAGTTACAATTATAAATTATCTTCTTTAATTATATTTATTTAATATGTCAATATATAGCAGCCAAACGTTTAATTGTTCGGGCAAGTAAACCTCTCAATAATTCCCTTAAAAACAGTCTTTATACATTTATAATTATCAATTATTATAATTCTTATCAATTCTATAATTATAATTATTATTTTAATAAATCAGTATATACAGATGTGTGCAACTAGCTAGTGAATAAAAATTTTCTTACGCTATTTTTTTAACCTAAAATATTCAATATATATTTATCTTATTATTTTTCGTCGTATATTTCGATCGGTAACGACGTTCTTAGATAAGCTTCAGGTAAAATCATGAGTTTAACTCTTGATATTACTCATCATTAAGTTTTTTAGTCGCTAATCTCGAACGCCGATCACTTATACCCTGATCGTATTTACACTTTTAATTAGCTGCACCGAATTTTCATTTCTTCATACAATCTACCACATCTGATTTATTTAAAAAAAATTAAATTTATAGTTTCATTTAATCACACTATTATAAAAAAAAAAATTTTGATTCTGAAGCTGACAATTATTAATTTTTTTTAATTTTTATAACAAATGAATTACAATAATAATTACTAAAAATTTCCACTAATAATTTTTTTTTTAATTTTTGCAAGTGGAATTTTTTTCTTAAACTTTTTTTTTAAGATAATTTTATTACTATAAAATTAATATAAAAAATTTTTAATGTTTGTAAGCTTCAGTGTCATTACAAAAATCCAATATTGGGTTTATTAAATAGAAACAATTCAAATAAAATTAACATCCATTAATTAATTATTAAAAATTCACGGTAATGGTTTAATTTACCAATAATTAAAAATTAATGGGATTTATTAAACTCCATTAATAATAATTATTTTTAAATTAAATATTTAAACAATGAAGTTGAAATTTTTTTTTTTATTTTTCTTTAAAGATAAACCAGGTCTAGAAAATTGAATTATTATAAAAAAAATTTATAAAAAATTCCTCATTTAAAAATTAAAAAAAAAAATTACAAGTCCGAATTTAAAAAAAATATTTTTTTTTATCATGAATAATTTATTAAAAAAATTTTTTAAATTGTCTGGAGCTGATTTTAGTATCATAAAAATTTTCTAGACTAAAAAAAAAATATTTTTATTAATAAAATTTTCTTTTTAAATAATTTTTACTTAATGCAAGTAAAGTAATTTTTTTCACCCTTAAAAAAAAGAATATTAATCTTTTCTTCTGAAGAAATAAATAATAAAAATATTTTTAAAGTAATTTCTTGCGGCAAAAAATTTTTGTTAAGAGAATAAAATTTATTTTATGTAAAAAATAAAAATCGAATGTCTCTCCCCACTTGTGTGAATTTTCCTAATTAACGTTAACAATGTTTGAATTAGTAATCAATATCTTAAATGCCAATAGATTGAAAGTACATGATAGCTAACAAATTACTCAAACAGAACAGTGTCGTAGGTGTTAGCTGGGTGTCACTAATAGACTCAGATGTGATGAGATGTATATGTCTTCTACAATGACATTAATAATTGTGGCTGGATCGACGTCGTATCGTCCAGAACAGTACAACTGTTAGCATTATATATATATATATGCATATGTATAAATATATACACACATACATCAATATGTACTGGTTAGTTAAATGTCCGGGTAGGGGCAGCAATTGAGACGTCGGTCTCGATTATCCTCGGGAACAGAGCTTTGACAGTTAGAGCACCAGTATGTGGGACAGTTGTTCTTGTTATTGTTTCCGTATTAGCAGATTTCCGTGTGTGTTCAGGAATATTCGACTAGTCCTCTCAACTCACTTGTCGCAGTCATTTAGCTTCCATGGTCACACACTGGTCCTCAGCCATTCACCGCGAGGAATAAATAGCAACATTTCATTTAATTAGTCTGAAAATCAGCTGCGGTACCCGTTGAATTATTCTATTGATTGATGATTGATAATTAATTACTGATACATTTAGGTGAATATATATGTTTGGATGTCTGTTTGCTATCTAGGCCTCGAGTATTAGCTTCCTGTCGAGGGTGACACATCATCTTGACAACAATTCGCAGATTATTGCTGCGCCCGCTGATAGGACTAAAGACACGCGCGAGAATGATGACGCTGAAGTCGCGCTAGCGCGGGTTATATCTTCACATACACCTGTAATTTATTAAAGAATTATTAATTGGAGATATTTGTTTTGGAAAAATTTTATTTATTTAACAAAATGTTATTTTATTTCAGAAAATTGTTATTTTATTAAAATTTTATTTGTTTCAGCAAAATTTTATTTTATTAAAATTTTAATTTAATTTAGCAAAATGTTATTTTAGTAAAAATTTATTCTAGTAAAATTTGATGTTATTAAAATTTTGTTAATTTTATTAAAATTTTAATTAATTTTTGGAAAATGTTATTTTAGTAAAAAATTTATTGTAGCAAAATGTTATTTTAGTAAAAATTAATTTTAGCAAAATTTTATTTCATTAAAATTTTGTTTATTTTATTAAAATTATAATTAATTTTAGCAAAATGTTATTTTAGTATAAATTGATTCTAGAAAATTTTGATTTTAGTAAAATTGTATTTTATTAAAATTTTAATTATTTTAGCAAAATGTTATTTTAGGAAAAATTTATTCTAGCAAAATTTTATTTTATTAAAATTTTGTTAATTTTATTACAATTTTAATAAATTTTAGGAAAATGTTATTATACTAAAAAATTTATTCTAGCAAAATTTTATTATCAGTAAAATTGTATTTTATTAAAATTTTAATTAATTTTAGCAAAATGTTATTTTAATAAAAATTTATTCTAGCAAAATTTTATTCAATAAAATTGTATTTTAATAAAATTTTGATTATTTTATTAAAATTTTAATTAATGTTATTTTAGTAAAATATTACCTTGATTAGAAAGCTTGTAAGTCCATTGATTAGGATCGTCCCTCTGGAACTCGCGTACCGGCCAAGTCAGCCTCAACTCTTGTTCTTGTTCGACTCTTGAGCCTCTACCAGACAATTTAGGCGTCGGATCAACCCAGCGCATCGAGAAGCAGAAGCTCGCATTTGTCACCGCGGATTCACTCCCGATGCTGCTCCCGCTGTTTACGTTTATGCTGATACCGCTCAGGCTCTTTTGTTTTTGCGAGACTATTGTGTACCAGACTCCTTTTTCTTCCCAGCTGTCATGACATGTGTATGCTGCAAAAAGGTTGTTTCTGTTATTCAAGAACTTTGGATTTATTCGGATAATTCAACTAAGTCCTACTTTTTTTGAGAAGTTATTTATAATACTGACGTCGCCAGACGGTTTGCGAGAAAATTTTAAATTATACGGAAATTTATAGACATTTCGCAATTTTTCTTCCTGTAGAATTTTTTTAATAAAATTAAAAAAAAAAATTCTAAAATTTCTGCTAATTTAATTTTTTATAAATTTTATTCTCAAACAATCCGATTAAAAAATTTTTTTAAGTAATATTAATGTTTAATAATAATTCTAATTTAATAATAAATTTCAACAAAGAAGAAAAAAAAATTTTTTCTAGGTTTTATAATAATAAATTGACTTAAAAAAATAACATTGTTTATGAACAATGTGATTATAAATTTTTTAGGCCATAAACTCTAAATCCAGGATTAGGTAAAAGCGTAAATTTTTGAAGCTATAAGTCAATATAAAATAATCTCTGGAGATAAATCTTTTATAGAATCTGGATTTATATATTTATAGATTTGTTTATCTAGATTTATGGATTTAATTCATCAATTTGTTAAATAAATGTACCTTCGTGTTTATCTTCACAGGTGTTGATGATAATCATTTCACTTTGATCAGAAGTGGTGCATCCGATTTGTATGTCAGAAACGCTGCACTGCTCGTCGTCGTTCTTTTCTTCCCAGGTCCGTTTCTCAGCAGCGCGTTGCGAAATTGACGAGGACACTGAAGATGACAATGAAGAAGAAGAAGACGACGGGGTGTCGCGGATCTGGATGTTTGTGTCCTTGCGTTGGCGACGCGGCGGTGTGGACAGCGCGTGAGAGGATCCGTAATTTACGACGTGGTAACGTCCAGGTTGCGGACATCTCTTCTTCTCTAACGTCGATGCTGTAAATTATGGTGTTGTTAATGAAAATGAATTATTGCTTGGAAAATTTTTTATTTTTTAATAAAAAGAAAACATAAAAAAAAATTTGAAATTAAAATTTTTATTTTAAAAATTCTTGCTCAAGGATTGAAGATACGTTAAAATTGATAGAGTTTTTTTTTTAGAGAATTAAATTTTTTATAATAAAAAGTCTCTTATCATTTTTTTTATGTTCAATATTTAAGTCAAAATTAATACTTATAATTTTTTTAAATTACTAATATATTATTTAATTTGATTTTTGAACTTTAAACTCAAATTTTGAAAAAAGGAAGCGAGATAGGGTAAAAGATAAACTGATAGAAAAATTTCTTTATAGTTAAAAATATTTAGAAAATCATTTATTAGAAGCCACTTTTTAGTCCTTAACAAATATTTCTTAGTATTTAAAAATATTTATTAATATTTAATAAATTAATATCAGATTTATAAAATACCAATAAATCATTTTGAATACTAAGAAATATTTGTTTAATACTAAAAATGGGTCTTTAATAAATGATTTATTAACTTTTAACAAATGAGAAGCTGATTTTCAAAAGGGTATCTTTTCGTGTTTTAAAAGAGCAGTTTTTTGAATTTTTAAATATTAATTACTTTGAAAATTATGAAGATTTCTAAATGAAAATCGAATTGTAGCTTCATAACTGATATCACTTTATAGCTAAATTAAAAAAGCTTAATAAAAATATTTAGAATTGATGATAACCAGTTTTTTGTCTCGATCAATGAAAAATGAAAAGATACCCTTTTGAAACTCAACTCAAATATTATTTAATACAAATAAATTCTTTTTCAATCAGTGTAAGGATTTTTTTTTTAGAAAATTTATATATTTATATATTTTTAGAAAATTTTCTATAAAAAAAAATCTTATCATTTTTTTGTATCTTCAATATTTTACCCAAAATTAATACTTCAAATTTTTTTAAATTACTGATAAGTTCTACATTTTGATTTTTTAACTTTAAATTTAAATTTTGAAAAAATGAAAAGAGTTAGGACAAAATTGATTAGGACTTTGTTTTGTAGAAAATTAAATTTTCTATAAAAAAAGATTGATATACTTTTTTCATATTTTTAATATTTAACCCAGAATTTTAAATTGAATATTAAAAACTTGAAAAAACTAAATTTTCATTCATTAATATTAATTTTAAAAAATGTAATAATAATAATGAAAATATAAAAATAAAATTATATATAATGCGAAAAAATAGAAATAAAAACAAAGCTATATATCTTCTAGGTCATAGCTCGCGTTATTCTTCAACACAATAACTCAAAACTCACTTATTAAAGTTATATACGGCATCACTGATAGATCTTCCTGCTGCTTGCATGCTTCTTCAGGTAAAATTGTTTTGACATCTGCAAACGATGAATAATTGAATTTCATTAGTATCCTCATTAATCACCCTTATAAATGCATACATTTTATTTCATCGCGTCAAAAATAATAAAAAAAAAGTTACAACAATTATTTGTTAAGATTAATAGTATTTTTTTTTTGTTATAAATATGTGCAATTAATTTCTTTTTCAATCAATAAAACAAAATAGTCTCAAAAATTATTTAAATAAAATTTATCGAGCGTTTAATTTAAATAATACTAGCCGAGGGCATATTAATTCCAATCAAATTTTAGCAGGAATCCAATCAATATACAAGATTAATTAGAACATAATCTGTAATTGAACACTGTGTTTATTTTTATTTTCATGTACTCTATTAATTTATCTGTACGTGTAAATACAGTTTAATTGATAAAAAAATAAAAAGATTTTCTTCAACAAAAAAAAAAAAAAAGATTTTTAAAAAATTTCACTTTTTAATTTGTCAATAATTTGTTGATGTAATTTTTTTAGTAGTAATTTATTTATTATAAAAATAAAAAATAGACCTATTGTATAAAAACATTTTTTATAGAAAATTTCCTAAGCTACAATTTTAATATCTAATAATTTTCTCTTAAAATTGATATTTTAGGAATTAAAACTATTTTTTTAGTACCAAGACTATGTTTCCCAATTTTCCATCAAGACAACGCTATTTAGTATCAAGACAATGGTTCTCAATTTTCCATCAAGTCAACACTATTTGAGTTACTATATCTCCTAAAATATTAAAAATAGACTTATAATATAAAAACGTTTTTGATAGAAAATTTCCTAAGCTACAATTTTAGTCTTATAATTTTCTCCTTAAATAATTATTAACGATTTTCTCCTAAAATCATTTTAGCGATTTTTTTAGTACCTATACAATGATTTATAATTTTCCATCAAGTCAACACTATTTAAATTACTATATCTCTTAAAATATTAAAAATAGACCTATAATATAAGAACATTGTTAATAGAAAATTTCCTAAACTACAATTTTAATCTCCTATATAATATTCTCCTAAAATTATAATTTTAGGAATTATAGCCATTTTTTAGTACCTAGACTTTGATTTATAATTTTCCATCAAGTCAACACTATTTGAGTTACTATATCGTCTAAAATATTAAAGATAGACCTATAATATAAAAACATTTTTGATAGGAAATTTCCTAAGCTACAATTTTAATATCTAATAATTTTATCCTAAAATCATTATAAACAATTTTCTCCTAAAATCATTCTAGCGATTTTTTTAGTACCTATACAATGATTTCTAATTTTCCATCGTCAACACTATTTAAGTTACTATATCTCCTAAAATATTAAAGATAGACCTATAATATAAAAACGTCTTTGATAGAAAATTTCCTAAGCTACAATTTTAGTCTCTTATAGATAGATATTTATTTTGCATTGTGGAACAGTAAGAACTGTTTTTTACAATTTTTTCATCACAGTTATTTTAGTCTCTTATAATTTTCTCCTAAAATCATTCTAGCCAATTTTTTCATACCCATACAATGATTTCTAATTTTCCCTTAAATCAACACTATTTAAGTTACCATATCTCCTAAAATATTAAAGATAGACCTATAGTATAAAAACATTATTGATAGAAAATTTCCTAAGCTACAATTTTGATCTCTTACAATTTTCTCCTAAAATCATTATTTTAGGAGTTACCGCCCTTATAATAAATATTTATAGAATTTACAGCTGACTGCTAGTTTAAGTTTCATTATTAATATACTTTTTTCTCGTAATAAAATTTGAACAATAAATTGTAATTCAAGTAATAAAATGACAGAGTGAATAGAACTGACTGAAGATTAAAAAACTCACTTGATTGCTGGAGCTCGATCACGCCAGCACTTCTTCTGTGGAAGATCATGCAGACGTAGCCAATATCGCTGTTGGAAAAAATAAAAGAAGAAATATATAAAAATATGAGCAAGTGAGTTCTGTTATAAAGGAGGAGTATTTCCGCGTCAAAGGAGCATTTTTAAAAAAGTCACATGGATGATTCGTCAGACGAGTCCATTCTGCTTGATAACAACAATAGTGTCTACTTGGTGCAGGATCTTGAAAAAGAATGAAGGATGAGGATGAGGATGGAAAGGGAGAGGAAGAAAAGTACCGGTGCAATGAAAAATTTCCTCCTCACTCACCAGCCACTCGTTATGTGAGCAACGAGCTTCACTTTCTTGTCCGGACTATCAATACTCTCGAGATTATGACAGACGATTCTCTCCTCGTACTTGTGCCCCTTGTTCTGCTGGTCCTTACTCTGCTCAACCTTGAGCGTCGCATTCCCGGTGGTGAAGTGGTAAGCCCTGGTTCCGTCCAAAGAGTGCCAGGCGTGGTGCTTAGTCACCCATTGTGGGTACTTACATTTATTGTGCTCTCTATCAACTGTAATTTGAGATAATAATCACTCATTTTAGATTTATTTAACAATCTCCTTAAAATTGTACTCAATTTTTTTTCGGCTTTTACATTTTTTCATTTTTAAGCTTGATTCAAAAATAATTATCAAATTTTATAGAAAAATTTTAAAGTAAGAATGACTTTTTTTTTTTATTTTTAAGTTAGCTGACATTTGACATTTTTAAGTTTTTTTTTTTTTTTGATGAATTTTTATTAAAAAATCACTTAGAATTTTTTTATTTAAAAAAATTAAAAAATGACAGGTGTCTATTAATTTTAATTTAACAATTTTATTTTATTTATTGAGGTTGAAATAAATTTAAACATTTTATCAAACTGAAATCAGCTGACAGTTTTTCAAGTTTTTTACAAATGAAATTTTTTTGTAATAATTTTTTCAATGAAAAAAAATTCTTAAAATTTTCAGATGTCAGCTAACTTAATTTTCATAAAAGTAACAGGTCTGTCAATTTCAGTTCTATATATTTTTATTTTATTTAATCATTTAATATTGAGATTAAATTAATTATAAAATTTTTTTTAGATTAACTCTGACAACTTCTACGGACAAAAAACAATCCTTGGTAAGTAAATAACAAAATAAATAAAATAAATAAAAATGACAATAACATACCTTTAGTCAATTTAATAGTTCTCGATCCTTGGGATACGTCGTTCAATGCCGAGCAAGTTGAGTCGCCGGATTGCGCAATGTCATAAGTTACTTTTTCACCATGATGATTTCTCTCATACAGGAAACATCTGTATAAAATAATTAGATTAATAATAACAACCGCAAGAGACTAATTAATGTAAACGAGCAAGTACACTACTATACAAAATACAATAAATAATTATTTATAGTAATTGTGTAGGATTTAGAAAGAGAAATATTAATTAGATGATAACGTTAATAATTTTCATAGACCACTTGTATTATCAAGTGTCTCCGGGGATGCCGGAGAGAATCATTAATTGATTTATTTATCAATTCAGTACTGTTATTCCGTCGGCAATTTTACTAATTGAATGTTCCCCTTCCAATTAGAATCATTGTGGATAATTTGTTAGATGGTTGTTGTACTCGTATGTTCCCAGTTTTACTTTTTATTTATTTATTGTTATACGAGTGGAAATTAATTGTACGCCTGCAATTATTTTATTTATTTGCTATTCTTTTGTGTTATTTTTTAATTAATTTATTTTTTTTTAAGTTATTCAATTAACGCTCATTTTTATTTCATGGAATAAAATTCTGTACTTTTATTTAATTTTTAAAAGTTCATTCACAAAAAAAAATTTTTTATTAATATTTTTACATTTTCAATTATTGATAATAATTATTAAAATTTATTTTTTTTAATGAACTTTTTAAAAATTAAACAAAAGTGAAAAATTTTATAAATTGAAATAAAAAATTTTATAATGAAAAAAAAAATATCAATTATTAATATTATTAATAATTAAAATATTTTATTTTAAATAAATAATACTAGCAACCTGCAGTCATTATGCGACTGTCCATTTACGAATTATGAATAAGAAAAATTTGGCTTAATAATTTTTTAGATTTATAATTACACTTAACATAGTTTGGGTACTTTTTAAATAAATTTTAAGAATAATAGTGCTATCACAGGATCAATTACAAATAATTTAATGGACAAATGTGACGGAACAAATTTATAAAACCAAAAAACTATTAAAAACTCCTCCAGAAAAAATTAACATAATTGACATAAAAAATTAACTAAAAAATATGTAAAATCAAAAGGCACTGATTCTTATCAAGACCTTTCCGATGATACCAAATTAAACTATAAAAATAGTAATATCGCGATCCAAATGCCAGAAGGGCGTATTACAGCAGCTAGATAGGGTTTTATGCCAAAAAGGCGTATAAAAAACTTTCAATTTTGCTCTGAAATAAAAAACTTAATGAAAATTAAGTTAGCTTACATTTAATAATTTTAAAAATTTTGTAACAAATAAATCATGGCAAAAAAAATTAGAAAAGAAAATAGACATGTAGGAATTTTAAAAATAAAAAAATGAAATTTTTTTTAAATAATTTTTTGGAACAAATTTTTTTTGTTAAATAAAATTAAAAAATTGTCAAGTGACTGCCAACTTTAATGTCATAAAATTTAACTCTAAAATAAAATTTAACACCCTCCTTTTGGCTTTGGAAATTTATTTTTTTATTTTTAGGCTTAGAAAGTGTTAATAAAGCGATTAGTAAAAAAAAAAATAAAATTTATATGTCCTTTTGGCACTGCAAAGCCGCGTCACAAAATTTTCCTTTCTCTCTCAATTATTTAAATCATAAATAACTATCGCTAAAAAATATCAAACCCAATTTACGATGATGATATACCCGTTATTAAATTTTTCTTAATCTCCTAATTGTAAAAATTAATTTTTTACATATACCACATTGACATGTACAAAACAAAATAAATAAATAAGCAAATTTTGTTTATCGCTAAATTCTAATCTATTTATAACTACCTCGAAAACTTATAATAAATAAACTATTTTAGAAAAGCATATGAAAAACTGAAAAGGCACAACTTCAGGTCAAGACCTTTCCAACGATATCAAATTTAACCATGAAAACCTATATTATCATATAAATATACTGGCCAAAAAATTTTGCTTATTCTCTTAATAATATAGATTATTTTTTTTATCAAATAAATAAGATAAAAAAAATTTTTAATTTATAACGCAATTTTAAAACTATTTAGCAAAAAATTGAAGCTCTAAAAAAAATAAAAAGTTATAAAATTACCTGAATGTTTCCTCATTAGTTGCGGCGCTCCTTCCAAACAGCTTGAGAGTGCCGACCAAATATTTGTTCCTTCCATCCTTCCAAAGAGCAAGACACTGCAGTTCCTCGGCTGTACCAGAATAAATTTACTTTTAAAAGCACTCCAGGTAAAAAGGTCAAGCTATCTTTATCGTTACTTTCGGAGAGTTAAAATATCATCCGGTTTAACCTCGGGAAAAGGACCAATAAGAGGAAATAAAACCGAACCGACCGGTAAGGGAATCAAACTAAAACAAATAACAAGTAATGTGAGGCTAATCTTTGCAATTAACCCATTCCTATTTATTGTAACTAACTTGCCGTTGTATTTTCAGGTCTCTCCCTTTTTTGGAGCCGAGAAGAGAAAAACGAGGAACGACCCAAATAGATTTTCCGAGTGATGGGTCATCGGGGATGCGACAACAGCTAAATTGAGATAGTGTTAGCGTGTATGTGATGGATATATATAAAGAAAGAAGACATTTGAAAGGGTGAAAAATCCCGTCGGGACTCGACGGCGTATGAAAGAATGATAATCAAATTAGTGTATAATCCATTTAGTTGGTTCGATCCGGGCAGTATCGTCCAAGTCCTGCCAGGTTCTTCTGCTACACTGGCAATGTTTTATTAAGCTACAATCGACGGAAGCCCCTGTTTGTTATACCAGGGGACACTTTTTGCCCCCAGATCATCGTCTTGATTTCACCGGCATGGCAACGCTCCTAATTTAATTTAATTAAATATTCTATTAAGGAAAATTTACAAACTTAAATACGGATCCTATTTGATTTTATTATCATTAGATCATTACTTATTCTTATTGTAGTTTATGGGTTTTTACGAAGCAGAAGCGCGGGGTTATTACTGGGTAATTACATATTGAAATTACACTTGGAAAACAACTTTTTTTTTTAAGTTTTTATCGTTAAGTTCAATTTAATTTTATTAATTTAATATCGTTTTTTTTTTTTAATTGTTGGGGAATATTATTATTTAAAGAAATTTTGTATTAAATATTAACAAAAAATTTTGTGAAAATTATTTGTTTTTTTAAATTTTAACTAGCAATGTGAACTATAAATAAATAAAATTTTGCTTTTTTAAATAATGACTTTTGTTAAATTGCACTGTAATTTTTATAACTATCGACGTTTTTAAAGATATAAGCTCATCTTGATGTTACACTCATTAAGAGCTTTCATTTGAGTACCCACATGCATTTTAATATATTTTTCATATATACATATATGTAATATATATAAATATATGAAAAATTGATGTGAGTACTCAAATAAAAGGTCTCGATGAGTTTAACATCAGGATGAGCTTATATCTTTAAAAATGTCAATAGTTCACGAGATACAGGGTCATTTCTTAATTATTGATATTTTTAACGATATAAGCTCATCTTGATGTTACACTCATTAAGAGCTTTCATTTGAGTACCCACATGCATTTTGATATATTTTTCATATATACATATATGTAATATATATAAATATATAAAAAATTGATGTGGGTACTCAAATGAAAGGTCTTCATGAGTGTAACATCGGGATGAGCTTATATCTTTAAAAATGTCAATAGTTCACGAAATACAAGGTCATTTCTTAATTATGTATCTAGAGATATTTTCGAATACTACTTAAATACTTATCATCATAGATTGACTATTGGTGAGAATGATATGAAACGTTAAAAAGGCACAAATTCAAGTCAAAGCTTTTCCAAAGCTACCAAATTTAACCATAAAAACCCACTTTATCATCTAAATACACTGCCCACAAAATTTTACTTATTCTCTTAATAATATAGATTTGTAAAAAATTTATTAATAAAGAAAATATATATCTTAAAAATTGTGAGTAAAATTAATTAGTTTGCTAAAATATTTATTTTCAATTTTATTTATTATAAAATTAACAATGTTTTTGTTAATAATTAAAAAAAAAAATTCTTGAATAACAATTAAAGATTTTTGTTTGTAAATATATTTTTTTATGTCAAATTTTCAAAGTAAAATTTTTTAGAAAATTGAGTTTAAAATAAAAAATAAAATTTTTATTTGAATAAAATTACAATTAATTAAACTCAAATAATAAATATAACTTCTGACTGTAAAAATTGAATGAATAATAAATTTGTTTGCAAAAAATCCCTTCAACAGAAAAAAAATATTTTTCTAACAAAATTGAAGTACCAAAAAAAGTTGATTAAAGAAGTAGAATATTAATAATATCAGTAGGTACTATAAATTCCCTCAGTAAAGCATCTGAGAAAAATGAAGCTGTTCTTTGATAATTTAAAAACTACAAAATGTGAATAAATATAAATGAGAATGAGTAAAAAAAGAAGATTAAATGTTTTTCATTTATTTCTCAATAAATCTTTCCTTTTTCCGGTGTTGCTAATTCAATTGCGGAATTTAAAATGCGTTAAGTGCATTAACGTCGAGCTGGAGCTTTGAAAGGGAGCTTTAGTAGTATACAGTGTAGTAGAGAAGACTAGAGGCCAGAGGAAAAATATTTATAATGAGGAATGAGGAATGCGAAATCTTTCTCTCTTATATATACGGTTTAATTTTCTCCCAGCCCCTCCACCTATCCAACTTACCCGCAATGTTAAACAGACGATGCTAAAATATAAGTAAATAATCTTGCTCGTCGCTCCTATGTGTATAAATTTATCGGTTAATTCACAGCAGTAAGGAGCAAGGTTAACTTCTCTCCGCTGGTATTTTTTTTTTAATTATTACATTACAAGAAAAAAACATCACGGGGAGAAACATTTTCACCCCGAATATTTCTCGTCTTTGATTCTCTTGTCTACTTGCTGCGAGTGTATGCTCACATGTATGACTCGCTTCGCGTAAATATGAGTGCTGGGACGTAAATTAGTACACGAGCTTACGCAATGTTTCAACATCATAAATTTCAATAAATATCAGCGCTACGGGTGGAACCGGTGGCCGCAATTCAATTTTAGGTAATTCAATTAACATTTATAAATCAATTTTTCGGTTACATGTTTTACTCACTTCCGTAATTGATACTTTTGTTTCTGAAATGTTTGTTTTTCCGATTATTGTATTAATCATAATCTTTTAATTTTTACTTTGTCGGTTAGGTATTCGTGGTACGAAAAAATTGTTCGGATAAATTTTTTAGGGAATTTTATTCTGAACAAAAAAAGGTAAGAGTAAATTTTTATGTAAACATGACAGTTTTGATAAAAAATTTCGAAGTTGTCAAATTTTGATCCAAAATTTTTGATCTAAGATGCAAAAAACAAAAAAAAATTTTTGGAACAAATTTTATAGAGAATTTTATCTTGAACAAAAAAAGTAAGAATTTTTTGTGTAAACATGATAGTTTTGCCAAAATTTTGATTTTAATGTTGAAAAATACTTTTGTGATAAGAAATTTTCAAATTTTTACTCAAAATCTAAGATGCAAAAAACAAAAAAAAATTTTGGAATAAATTTTCTAGAGAATTTTATTCTGAATAAAAGAGGTAAGAATTTTTTGTGTAAACACGACAGTTTTGCCAAAATTTTGGTTTTAATGTTGAAAATATTGTTTTGATAAGAAATTTTAAAGTTGTAAAATTTTGATCCAAAAATTTTGATCTAAAATATAAAAAACAAAAAAAAAATTTTTGGAATAAATTTTATAGAGAATTTTATCTTAAACAAAAAAGGTAAGAGTTAATTTTTGTATTAACATGATAGTTTTACTAAAAATTTGAATTTAATATTGAAAAATATTGTTTTGATAAGAAATTTTAGTTTTCAAATTTTTACTCAAAATATTTGATCTAAGATGCAAAAAATGAAAAAAATTTTTTTAGAGAATTTTATTCTAAACTAAAAGGTAAGAGTGAATTTTTATTTAAACAAGATAGTTTTGACAAAATTTTGAATGTAATGTTAAGAATCATTGTTTTAATAAAAAATTTTGAAGACTTCAGATTTTGATTCAAAATTTTTGATCTAAGATGCAAAAAACAAACAAAAAATTTTTAGAATAAATTTTATCTTGAACAAAACGATAAGAGTGAATTTTTATGCAAACATAATAGTTTTAGCAAAATTTTGAATTTAATGTTAAGAATCATAGTTTTGATAAAAAATTTTGAAGTTTTTAAATTTTAATCCAAAATTTTTGGTATAAATTTTGTAGAGAATTTTATTCTGAACAAAAAAATTAAGAGTGAATTTTTATCTAGACATGGATGGTAGTTTCGAAAAAATTTTGAATTTAATATTAAAAATCATTGTTTTAATAAAAAATTTTGAAGTTGTCAAATTTGGATCCAAAATTTTTGATCTAAGATGCAAAAAACATAAAGAAATTTTTGGAATAAATTTTGTAGAGAATTTTATCCCAAACAAAAAAGGTATGAATGATTTTTTTGTGTAAACATGATAGTTTTGAAGAAAATTGGTCTTCAATGTTAAAATATATTGTAAAAAAACTTATTGAGAAGTTTTTAAATGAATTAATTTATTTTTTTGTTAGATATTTTATAAATAAATAGTAAAAAGAAAAAAATTGAGGTAAACAATGTAAATTAAGTTGACTGAAATCAGTCAGAAAGTATCGGTAGGATAAATGAAAATATGCGGGATTAATTAACCACTTAAACATGTCACAACTTTGCGTATAATAAAACAAAGTTTTTCGAATATTACCAGTGAATAATTACAAAAGTATTAATTAAATAACTTTTAATAATAAAGCGTCTGGAGCGATGGAATATTGATTGAATAATTTATTAATAAACATAAACTGAGAATAGCCGAGACAGTGAATAATTAAGTGAGTATATTGGTAATTCAATGTTTAACTTTATTCAAAGTTGGTCACATACTCCGATGAATTTTTGATAGTTTTTGGTTAATTTTTAATTAGAGCGATTTGACGTTTGGGTATTTGCCTTTCGGTAAAGAGTGAGAGGCGTCTGAACTTTAGTGACGATTTAATGAAAAATAGACGGAGCAGTTTAATTTCTGGATGATTAAAAGTGTCGGTAAATATTAAATCAAGTCTCGACGTTTTAATTTAAATAAGATAGCTTCGCAAAAATGGAAATTGCTTTGGTTCTTTTTAAAATTTAATCGGCTAGACATTGGCTACTGAAATTTAAATTTAATTCGACATATCAACCTCACTATGTATTCAATTATTTATTTATCTGATTGTCTACCGGATTGATTGTAATTATCATTATAATTGTTATTAAATCCATAACATTTCTCTCGAATGAATAAATTTTGTTTTTTTAATGCATAAGTGGAGATTTAATAGATCCTAAAATTCCTCAGCAAATAAATAAAATTTTTCTCAATATTTTAAATTACCCATAACTTTAAAATAATAAAATTTAGGGGTCTTCTTAATCTTACGATAAAATTGTTTTTCCAAACTTAAATATTAATGACAAATAAAATAGTTTATCGTCCGGGCGACAGTAAACCCACTAATTAAAAAACAAACTTTTCAATGAGCTTTAAAATTAAAGGTCTCTTAAATAATTATTTGAAACCGCGAAAATATGCAAATGCAAGCCGTGGATATTTAAAATATTATAAAAAATAGTGAATTGGGCGTCTATTTAATTAAAACCGTAGTTTTATCTCCGAGAATACGGAGCCTTTGCCCGAACAAAGTGCAAGGCTAAGCCTGAAGGTATTAGACTAAAGTAATTCAGTTTATTGACGGATACATTTAGTGAACAGACGATGTGTTTTTATATTAATAGGCGCATAATAGTTGATAAGAAAATTTGATAGGGTCGGAGTGTCATTTACAGAAGTTAATACTTGTTGAAATGACCTCTCCGGGGAATTTTTTATACCGAGTGCATAGAGAAATAATTTATTTAAAAAAAAATTAAAGTTTTTTTTAACAAAAAATTAATTTATTTAAAATTTTATTTTTTAGCTGAAGAAATAAAATTTTTTTCACAGTAACTTTCTTGTTGAAAAAACATTTTCTAAATTTGAAAGAAAAAAAAAATTTTTAAATTGTCTTTAAATTTTTGTTTCCAAATTTCAAAAACTTTTTTCTTAATACAAAAAAGTTACTAAAAAAATAAAAATTTTTTTTAGCTAAAAAATAAAATTTTTTAAGAAATTAATTTCTTTTCACAAAAATTTTCAATTTTTTCAAAATTAATTTTTTTTTCTCAGACTAATAATTTTTTTTATAATTTTAAATATGTATTAATTTTTTCAAATTATATTCAGTGAAAAAAAAATAAACTTGAATCAAGAGAAAAATTCTTGAATCAAAATTAACTTAAACTTGATGAAGTTTTCAAAAATTGTTCACTTAATTCAAGTAAATTTTTTTTTTTGTGTATAAAAAAATAAATAAATGTAAAACTTACTTATACTTTCAGAGTCTTCAATATCTGGACAAGCTTGATACTTAAGAAGCAATTTACTGGGATCAGTGCAGCTTTCAGCGACACTAACTGGAGAATTGCATTCTTTATCACCGCGGTTGTAGGTGAATGTGTAAGGTGCCCCATTAAAAGGACACGTTATCGGCTCTGGGTTCAAACGAAACATCGTAAACAGACTGTCGTCCGTCCTAATTGATTCGCATATCTCTTGCAGGCTTTTTCTCTCCGAGGAGCATGTTCCCACTGCAACAAAAAGCAAAGCCCTTATTAATATTCAGGAATACTAACGGAAGGCAGAAGCTGTTTTTCATATGTATAAATATATAATATATAAAGCATATTAAGGTATATATATATATATATATATAAGTATAAGAGAATAAAATATTATTATTATTATTAAAGTGAAAAAGCTAAAAATTGAGTGTGTTGACGGGAATTAAAAATAAGGCGTCTTTGTGAATAATCAATAAGCATTCGAAGAAGGATTTGCTTGTCAAGTTTACTAAGAAGCTTAACTCCCGGAGTCCTTGAACGCCGTTTGATAATTTATTCACTTAAAATAATCCCCTCGATCCATATAGATACATATATATCTAACATATAACAGGTATATATTTATTTATAAATACATTATGTATAATTAAATATGAATATTTAATAGCTCAAGTTAAACGACGTAAAATTTATTACATTATTTTTAATTACAACTTTTAAGGTTCAATTTTATTTTATTTTTTTTTTTAAGGATAAAATATTTTCGCTATATTTTATAAAATACGAAATTTTTATTATTAAAAAAAAACATTTTATAAAATAGAAAATTTATAAGAAAAAAACTATTTCACTGTTATTAATATTTACTAGCAACTTTGTAGTCACTATGTGACTGCCGTGACTTGTGAACTATAATAATAAATAAATAAAATTTTGCTTTTTTAAATAATGACTTTTGTAAAATTGCATTGTACTTTTTTAACTATTGACGTTTTTGAAGATATAAGCTCATTTCGATGTTACACTCATCAAGAGCTTTCATTTGAGTACCCACATGCATTTTGATATATTTTTCATATATACATATATATAAAATATATAAATATAAAAAAAATTGATGTGGGTACTCAAATGAAAGGTCTCGATGAGTGTAATGTCGAGTTGAGCTTATATCTTCAAAAATGTCATTGGTTGGTAAGATATAAGGTCATTTCTTAGTTATTAACATTTTTAACGATATAAGCTCATCCTGATGTTACACTCATCAAGAGCTTTCATTTGAGTACTCACATCAATTTTTCATATATATATATATAAAAGCTCTTGATGAGTGTAATGTCGAGATGAGCTTACATCTTCAAAAATGTCAATAGTTTACAAGATACAAGGTCATTTCTTAATTATGTATCTAGAGATAGAGTATTTTCGAACGCCGTCTAAAATACTTATCATAATAAATTGACTATCGGTGAGAATGATATGAAACCTTGAAAAGGCACAAATTCAAGTCAAGATCTTTGCAATGACACTAAATTTCACTGAAAAAAAACTGATTTTATCATATGACTATCCTGCAGACAAAATTTTTCTTACTCTCTTAATAATATAGCTTAAAAATTTTTTTAATTTTTCACAAAATGTACAAGAAAAATTTTATTTAAAAAAAAAATTAACTGTATTAATTATCAATTCCATAAAAACAACAATTAAACCGAATTAAAAATAACAAGAAATAAATCTCATTTAACAACATTTAAAAAATAATATTTCTGATGTGCTTTAAACATGAATCTAATCCCAGGGCGTGGACGAACGTCAAGTAAAGATAAAGTCGGCGGTGGGATTGAATTAAACGTAAAAGGTAAATTTTCCAGAGGCGAGATTTGTACGCAAGCGGTTGCATTTTGCGTGGATACCGAGGGTGAGGGCACCCTCTCTCCGAGAAGAAAGATCCGGGCAAGGGACGTGGGGTCGAGGGAGGATCTCTGAGTTAGTATACGGAAGAGGATATAGTTCTCTATCTGCTTTGATAATTTATGCATTTCCCAGGATAATCCTTGTGTATGAAAGATGGTAGCCAGCGGCTTTCCGCCTGCGAAGCGCCCTCTGCCCCTCTAACCTCTTCCCCAAGTGGCAACAGTGCCCAAGTCCAGGAGCTGGGGGCAAACTCCGAAGACTGTGGTGGGGAGCCGAAGGATTAGGAGCGAACCTGACGAAATCCGCGAACATGCGGGCTAGCTTATATTTAGGACAGACCTTTTCTTCCCTGGCCATTTAACCCGTTACTTCAGCAGAAAACTTTCCCTTAACGAGACATTAGCCGAACAAAGCTAAAGTTTTGTTCCCCTTCCACCAGAATTCTCTTTACGGCGTCGTTTTTCTACTCATTCATTGGCTGCGCTCATTCACCGGCTCGCTCGCTCCCTCTGTCTTCCCTCGACTCAGCCATTTTACGGCTACTCTTTTCTTCTTCTAGGCTTTAAGGTCTCTAGACAACTTTTTTCACCTTTAAGAAGGATTAAAACTGCCCTTAAACTCGTCTTGTATCTCCACTTTTATTGTTATTATCTTTTTATTCATTTGCTGCCCTCTAACCCATCGCGCTTTAATAGAAAGTCAATGGAAAATAAATATTACTTTACTCGGTAATTAACTTCACAAGCAAAAGCTAAATTACCTTATTTTTAAATAACCTTCCTCGGAAATTAATTAACTAGCATTGCGTTTATTAACAAACTTAAAGTTTTTTTTTTTTTTTTTTTTTGGAGTCTTACGCGTCAGCCTTCTGGCCTAGACACGTGGGATTTTTACGTCCCTTCCTACTATTTATTGTGTTTGATGTGCCGAACTACACATCTTAACCTCCTATCCGCGGCTGTGGTCGTCTTACAGTCTGTACCCGCATTCGCCTGTGCCCCACCCTTAGCACAGTGACCGAGGAAACCACAGAAACCTGCCCAGGTTACAGTCGGCAAGGGAGCAAGCCTTGGAAATCGCAGAAAAATTGCGACTGCCAGGGCTCGAACCCACGCCTGAGCGACTGTTGAACGGGCAGTTTAAGACTTAAACCGCTCGGCCACGCAGCCGCTCCTACCCACGTCCCATCCTCAACTCCCGTCCCAATTCCCTTCCTATAATGTTTGTTGATGTATTTTTTAATACCATAATTTTTGACATCAATTCCATTCATCCTGGTTAACTCTTATGTTATTAAATTAAATATTGATATACCTAAATATTTAATAACTCATTGTAGTTTAATTTCTTGTAAATAGCGAGATCTACTAAACGTAGCCAGCCATCATTTATTCTTACCTACTGTTAAAGTTTTTTGATGTAATTTTTAGACTTAAGTATTTCCTTATGTATCTTTTTGAGTATAAATAAAAATCTACATTTTCAAAAAAAAAAAAGCCACGCAGCCGCTCCCCAAACTCAAAGTTAATTATTAATTACAACTAAAAAGATTTTAAGTATTAACTCTGAAAGGCTCGGTAATTATATGACTTTGTCTGGAATTTGCCTTAAGGAATTGAGTCCTTTGCGCGCGCATTACGCCACAGAGTATAGAATTATATATAGTATGTACGGCACGCATGAGAAAGTCCAATCGAAAATAACCTAAGGTGCCTTGTTTATTCGGATCCACGAGCGGATCAATCGAGAAATTTAAAGGCTCTAACAAGATAATCGCATCATTTTATATCACGGCAATTTTACCGGCTCGTAAAAGATGGCTTCATACACTGACGCTTTATTCAGGTGTTAGTCTCTGGGTATTTATTTATTGGTTACGCTAAACACTAAAAAAGTACCCTTAAAATATCACCTTGTATAAAACTATTTAATAATCATTTTATTACATAAAAGTAATAAATATACGACGACTTTTAATAGCGATATATTTTAATTATTACTTTCTTTCATCGTCTTTTTATGGTGAGGGTTTATTACTGGATGGTTGGGGTTAATTGATAATTAAGTTGGTTTTTTTTTGAGCTTAGACAAAAATTTATTTTTTAGAATATTTAATAACTTAAAAATTTTTATAAATTGTTTTTAAAAATTATTATATATTTAATTTGTTGTGTTTAAAATTATAAAAATTGGAAATAATTATTATTGTTAATAAGTTAAGTCAATAAAAAAATAATAAGGACATTTTACCAAGCCGGGAATCGAACCCGGATCTGTCTGATTATATGTAAGACGCCTCTATAAGATTTAAATTTAAATATTATTGATGTAAATATATATTTTAAATTATTGCAAGAAAAATAGAGTTAAATTTTTTAATTAATTAAGATTATCCTGAAAAAATAGGATTAAAAATAATTTTTTTTTACGCTGCTCGTAAAAAGTAATTTAATAACAGGATTTAAATTATTAAAAAATAAATATTATTTAATCATATATTTATTTATGAATTTTTTAACGTATTGAAGCACAAATTTACATATTGGAAAGTTGAAATAAAATAGAGCTTATTTTTAAAGCTGATTATAATGATAAAAAATGCAAAAGTAAATAAAAATAACAGTAAAATTCAATTAATAATAATAATAATAATAATTTATATTAACTAAAATTTTATTATAAATGTTTAAAGATCTCGACATTAAAAAATAAAGCGAGTATTTTAAATAAAATTTCATTATAAATATTTAAACATCTTGACATTAAAAAGTAAAGCGAGTATTGTAGATAAAATGAACCAAATGTAATTAATTAAACACCTGTAAATTAGTGAAAGTTTGCTCACAGGATTAATTATCTGATCTCCAAGCATTTGAATACTGAATGCATCTTACTAGTTAAGCAAAAGTGAAATTAGTTTAAGTGAAAATTAATTTTCATTTAAATGATTTACATTACTTTATACGAGTTGGGGAAAAATTCGACAACATAATCTAGGGACATTAAGGTTAGTTCTAACAAAGAACCGAGTCCCCTCCCTAATCAGGATTAACCTATCAGAGATGACAGAATCAACCAATAAGGGAGAATAAGCGTCTTAAAGGATTCTAACCTGGAAAGTTTTAGAATAGGATGAAGGGAGCCATTACCATTACACGAAAACTATTAACCTCCGGGAAGATATTGAAATGTGGAGTACACCTGATGTTAATTAAAAATAAATATTATCGGTAAACTTTTGCCGATGCGCTAAGAGGATTACACGATAGTGTAATGCCCGGAATTTGTATATCTATCTATTTATCCACTAATAGAGTAAATAATAAATA